TTTTGGTTTTTCTCCGGTACCGGGAACCGAACTCACGACCTTGCACTTGCCAGGCAGGCGCTTTTGCCGCTGAGCTAAATCCCCAGCCCCTCTGTCTCTTTCTCTTGAGAATAAGGATAAGAATGAGAATGAGAATGAGAGTATGAATAAGAATAATGCATATAACACATTACTCAGACTGGCCTAGAACTCAAGGCTTAAGCAGGCTGAAATGCTTTCCCCATCTCTGCCTCACAAGTAGCTGGAACTACAGACCTGTACCACCGTGCTAGGTCTTCTCTTTTGGAAGGGAGCCTGCATGCGTTAGATAAGTTTCATTCCTGTAGATCATCCTGGTCCCACTTCTAGCTCCTACTCCATCATTGCTCTAAACCAGGAGATAAAAAAGCTTATAGGCCACCTGCTGGATACTACAGCATACTTGAGTATATCATGGTCATAAAAGCTACTGCTGATGTTACTGATCCAGAAGCTTTTTGGATAATCAGTGTTCCTGATAAATACTACACTGAAGCCAAGTAGGTCATCGCAGCAGCATAGCATAGAGAAGAAGATCAGTATATTTTCAGGTTTGGTATTTTACTTTTTGGGGAAGGTAACATGTAAATAATGAAATGTGTTGATTTCAGCCACTTTCAAGTATCTTCAGTTGTACTGCTGTGGCTGCCTCCCTGACCTGAATCAATTGAGAATGTTTACTTTTCGTGGTTATTTTGACTTTGGGAAGGAGCCAGAGGTAGTGAATAAGGTGAATGAAGACACGCTGTATTGGTTTCACCAGCTGGATTTTCATTAGACAGCACTTGGCAGCAGCAGTCACTGTTCTTTTGATCATACCTTATAAAGACATGGAAGAGACTTTCAGAACTGCTTTAGAAAGTGGCGAGAGTGAGGGCACAAGTGTGTTTGAAGGAGTGACTAATTTGAGAGGGATAGTATAATAAATGTTCTATTTCATTTCATTTCATTTATTTTATTTTGTGTTTTTTGAGACAGGGTTTCACTATGTAGATCAGAGTGGCCTTGAATTTACTGTGTAGCCTAGGCTGGCCTCAAACTCAGTGATTCTCCTGCTTCAGCCTCCCAAATGCTGGGATTACAAGCATGTGCCACCATACCCGGCTTGTAATAAATGTTTTAAAGTTGAATATTCATTGTATATTTTGATCTCCCCCATATTCAGATTGTGCAAAAGGCCTCTAACGCTTTTTATCACTGCACACAGAGACACTTAACTTTTAAGTTGCCCATTTCCTCCTCTTCCTGGCCATCGTAACCACTCTCTTAATTTCTGAGTGGGTATATCTGTGGTAGCTTCCTCATAATATTTGCTTCCTCTCTCTGGCTTCTCTCACTTAGCATTCTGTCTTTGATGTTCACCCATGTTGTAGCAGGCATCCAAAATTTCACTCCAGTTTATGGCTGGATGATACATGCTCTATTGCATGTATATAAACTATCTGTTAATTCATTCATCATCCAGTGGAACTTTGAACTGTTTCCACATTTGGCTCTTATGAGAACTTTGAACTGTTTCCACAGTACTCTTTGCTGTGATCACTGTTGTACAAATATCTGTTCAAGATCTTAATTTCCATTTGTGTGTGAATATATTGTGTGTGTGTGTGTGTGTGTGTGTGTGTGTATGTGTGCTGTATATGCCCAGTGGTGGAATTGTTGGATCAAAAGCCAATTTTGTTTAATTTTTTAGTGGAATGACCTTTTTTTTTCATTATAATAGTAAAGCAGTTTAAATTCCTAATAGCAATGCACTAAGGATACATTTTTCTGTATTATACTATCTATTGTTTTCTGTTTTTTGTTGTTTTGTTTGTGATACCAACCATCCTAGAGGGTGTGATTTTGACTTTCAATTCCTTATAAGCAAAATTAGAATGGAGATGAGGCCAGGAAAATTCTCAAGTGAACAAAATCAATTAGGCCTTTAAATTAGCCTTTCTTTGCTTAGAGAGTGAATACAAGCAAAGCTTGGGTTATATAATTTTAGACAAATGCTTATGTAATACACAAATAAAATTTAACTTGAGCTACTGAGACACACTAATATATACAACTAAAACTTTTTAACAAGGTAAATCAGAGAAAGCCATTTTATAATTTACCCAGTCAGTCTTTTTTTGTTTTTCTAATTTTTTTATTCATACATGTTTGTAGTACATAATGTTTATATTCTTTGTGGGAAGTTGGTAAATGTACATAATATGTGGTCTTTTAATTTTAAAAAGAGAAAAAACAATAAAAATGATACAGAATTTTTTTTTTTCTGGTACCGGGAATTGAACTCACAACCTCATGCTTACCAGGCAGGCGCTGTGCTGCTGAGCTAAATCCCCAGCCCTGATACAGAATTTTAAAGCAAGATGATAGGAAATTAATATGTTTGTTTCTACATTTTCTGTATAAATATTTGCTTGTGATACTCACAACAAAACACACATGTTAACACAAGCACTTTATCTTTCAGTCTAGTATTCTACAATTCATGAACTGCATCTTGAAATAAATTCTTTAAAAATTTATTGTATACCAGTGATTAGTGTTGTCGAACTTGTTTTCATATGTTACTGGCCATTTGCTTCTCTTTTTTAAGGAAATGTGTATTCCTGTTCTTTGTCTACTTTTGAGTTGGGTTTTCTGTTATTCGGTAGTACTTGTAGTTCTTAGTATGTTCTGGATAGTAAGCCCTTATTGGATTTATGATTTCCAAATATGATTCAACAATTCTGTGGGTTCCCATTTTACCCTATTAAAGGCACCATTTAGTTCACAAATCTTTTAAGTCTGATGTAGTGTAGGTTACATTTATTTCCTGTGCTTTAGGTATCATATGCAAGAAGTCATTTCTGTCTGACATCTATGTCAGGCAAAGCAAAGACCAGAACTGTTAACCCAACCAAGATTCACTTGTGGCAGATAAAGTCTGCTCTGGTCCTCCTGTTTAAGTGAGGGAATTGGAACCAACCAGGAGCTATGTTTTCCAGCCCAAGACCACAACACATTAGTGATAGGGTAGGGACAGGACTAGAAAAGGCAGCAGGGAACTTCTAATCATTATGAATATGGCTTTGTCTTGATTGGACATTCATGTGGTTATAGTCACCATTTGACTCTTTCAGGATTCCTGTGAGATTATTTTAGCTTTTCAAAAAATTTCTCCGTGGATTGAAGAAGTGTACAGAACTTTCTAGTCTGTCATTAATCTCAGTTGTCTAGGTTTTTTTTTTGGTTTTTCTCCGGTACCGGGAACCGAACTTACGACCTTGTGCTTTCCAGGCAGGCACTTTGCCGCTGAGCTAAATCCCCAGCCCCAGTTGTCTAGGTTTTTAATCCTGTCTTTATGATTTATTCATTCAGTCCTTGTATAATGCATTTATCTCATTTGTGAGGTGATTAAAATAAGGTCTAATTTTCAGGTACTGTAAAATATTAAATGCACGTGGTTTATCATAGTGTAGACCCCAAATTATGGTGATGATTACTTGAGTTTTATTATTACTATTGACATAAAACTTTGGAGAGGTTAATACCCTAAGTTTAATCCAAATCATCATTGAAGATTTGGGAGAATGATGGAGGAAGCCTTCTGCATCTGCTAATGTTAGGTTCATGCTCTCTTGTAGAAAGTGCTCAAGGCTTGTCTGTCCTCAGTTGATTGATGCTCTGATACTTTTGCAACAAAATTTTATAAACTTATTTCTAATAAGAGACTCTTCTAGGTTGGAGCATTGCTATGGCACCTGAACTAAAAATGTTGACTCCCATTTGTCTGGTGGAAAACATCAATGAAGACATGACTGTGAACAAGGAAGCCATAGAGATTCTTGAGAAGATTTCTCAGCCGGTGGTAGTGGTGGCCATTGTGGGGCTGTACCGTACAGGGAAATCCTACTTGATGAACCGCCTGGCTGGACAGAACCATGGTGAGTATTATTATGAGGTGTTGGAAACCAGTTACATCTCAGCTTCTTACTTCTGTTCCTAGTGAGAAAAAGGAGGAACCCAACTCTTCTCAGTAAAGCAAACTTCTCATTCTAATTCTCACCAGCAGATTTTTACTTTGCTTTCATTCATTTCCATAATCTTTATTGTCTTTGAAGAAAATCTCTCCCACTAATGCTCAAAATTATCCTCCATCACTGGCTCCTGTGTTTCTTTTCATCCATACTTTGCTTTTGATATGAAATATTCTCATCAATACATAGAGACCTCTGAGTATTTATTTTTCTAAAAGTCCTTTTTTGAGTGTCACATTCCATTGTGACAAGCAACTCTTCATTTTTCTTTGCTTTTCTCTTTAATACAAAAATGTTATGCCTATTTCCATGTCCTGTTTTTCTTTTTCTCTGGTCTCTGCTCAGTCTGCTCCTTTGTGACTCAGCGCAGCCCTTGTTTCACAATACTCTTGTTGCAGTTGCCAGTGCCCTCAATTTTGTCTGATTCTTGGATGTCTTTGCCTTTGTCTTGAGCCCCTGAATATCTTCATCATCATGTTTCATATCCTCTGCTCCTTGGTAGGTAAAGCATTTTTGGAGAAAGTGAAGAAGTACCACATAGTCTGCTGAGGTCCTTCTAGTCCCAGAAGCCTAAGGTCACATTCTCTATGATACTGTGGAAGTGCTGATGTCACCATTGTTTCTCTTCTTCTTTTCAGGCTTCCCGCTGGGCTCCACTGTTCAATCTAAAACAAAGGGCATCTGGATGTGGTGTAGGCCCCACCCCATCAGGCAAGACTACACCCTGGTCCTTCTGGACACTGAGGGTCTGGGCGATATGGAAAAGGTGAGTTGGAGAGATTCAGGCACACACTTTTGACTCTGAATTGTCTTATCTTTTTTAAAATCTTTGTGATTTGATTGCTGTGATCTCTTTATGAAATCAGAAACTGAACTACAGTGAAAGAGGTAAACCTTATTTTGTTTCATCTTACTTCTAGATAAAATCAGATATCATGTTATTTTAGGTAAAATATTCTTTTATTGCTTGACATTGGTGTTAGTAATTTGTTTCCATGTAACTTAAAGCCTATTGAGAAGCTAGGTCCCAGCCTTATGGGTTTAGTAGTATAGATTTTAGTGAACAGAATAAAGGCTCTGCCACAACAGGGCCTTCAGTTCCATCTAGGAAACCTGAGGTCTTTCTTAACATGGAGAGCAAGCAAAAGGCAGGTTGGAGAGAGAAAGGTGCTGCCCTGTGCAGTGGCTGGGCTCTGTCAGTTCTGTGGGGAGAAATGTGGCTGGACCTGCCCTTTGAAGTATCTTTTGTTGGGAGTAGTGTGCTGGGTCTTTATCTCTGATATTGACTGATTTCTAGAACTTGGCCTTGGAAGCCTTCTCAGGAAGAGTGCTTACATGTGTTGGCTTTGTTCGTCAGCACTGCCAAGAGCTGGGAAATGTGTTTTAAGGAGATGCATACACACATTACTCTTCCACAGTGTACAATGAGGCATAAGCAGGCCTTGAGAGGAAGATGGGAAGGAGTCAGCCCATCTCGGTGTCCAATGAAAGGCTCTGGTTCACACTCTGAGCCTCCAAGTGAAGTGTGTATTTGCAGTTGAAAGTTCTTATGGTGAATCTCATTAACTACCCATAGAACTTTCTAGAAGTCTCTGAGAAGCCTCTGACTGTGCTGGTTCTATAAAATATATTTTTGTCTTATGATAAATATTCTAAGGTGGGTTTTAATGTTTAGTTTCCTAAATGTAAGTGAACTAAATCATTCATCTTTTCTTCCTTAGAGACTTCAGAATATTGTCTAAATTTATATATAATATAATATAATATAATTGTGTCTGAAGAAGAATTACAAATTCTGTTTATTCTTCTGAGATATATTGAGCAAATAAAATATATATTAGAGATGTACAACTTGATGCTTTGCTATACATTATGAAATCAAATCCACAATCAAACAGATAAATATATAATCACCAGACATTATGTTTTCTGTTTTTTTTTGGTGTAAATACATGGGTTGTAGCTGCTTAGCATAATTCAAGTGTGTGGTGTAGTACTGTTAACTCTAGTCACTGTGTGTTCCTTAGATCTCCAGAATTTACTTCATTGTATAATTGAAACATTGTTCCTTTTGATCATCAGTGTCCATTTATCCCACCTCAGGCCACAAAAATACACCATTGTCTTCCCTTTTGTTATGGTTCACTCTTTCTATGACATTTTTAGATTCAACTGTTCAGTGAGATAATGCAATATTTGCTTTTTTGTGTCTGGCTTATTTCACTGAGCTTAATGCCCTCCGGTTTGTTCTTAATATAAATGGTAGGACTTCTTTCCTTTTTTATGGTAGAGTAAATGTTCTCCATGGTTGAGTAAATGTTATCTTTAATCATTTATTCATTGATAGGAATTTATAGTTTTTCAACAAGTGTCCAACAGGTTAATAGTATCCCTTAGTTAATGTGGACTGATCAGGTCCACAATCTCCCAAACGAGTGGACAGCAAAAACTTAAATAAACGAGAGAAGTAGTTTGATTTCAGGCTTCAAAAGGGTTCCAAACCCTTTAACAGAATTCAAGATTCTATGGGGATAAGACAAAGAACGTCTCTGGGTGGTCCATATTTATTTGGTTTTCAAGCAAAGGCGGGGGATACTGAAGAAAGTAGGAATCTGAGAAGAATCTAGCAGGACCTTGGGAGATATTTTCCCAAGTAGTAAATTATGTCAATCAGGAGAACTATCTTTTCTTTAGGTTGACATTTATTATAGGAATGTGCAGCCTGCAGCTGCAGTTTCCTTTTAAGTTAATTGGGGTTGGAGCCAAATGTTCTCAACTGTTCTCTTATCCTGTCCTTTGAGGTATCCCAACTTCACAGGCCAATAGAGGCCTCAGTAGGGATGAGTGACTCATAGAGGTTTGCTTATTATGAGTTTGTTGTCCATCTCCAGACAAGGGACCTAGGCCTTGGACAAGTCACAAGTAAACTTGCAAAGCCAGTTGGTTAATATTAAATCCTGCTCAGAGATGCTTTATAATGGTCTCTATCACATGTCTGTTATGAATAGTGCTACAAAAGAGATGGAAGTGTGGTTTTCTTTTCCAGACACTAATTGCTTTTTCTTTGTAACTATACATAGAATGAGATTGCAGGATTATGTGGTTCTTCTATTTTTAATCTTTTAAGGAAACTCCATAGTACTTTTCCTAATGGCTGCACCAGTTGATATTGTAACCAGTCGCTACAAAGATATTCTTTTTTCTCAATCTTCATTAATGCTGTTATCTCCTGTCTTGTTGATAACAGCCATTCTACTGTGTGTCAATTTATGTCTTCTTATGGTTTTTAGTGACATTTCCCTGATACTTAAACTATGAACATCTTAATTAGACTATGAACATCTTCTCATGTATCTATGAGATACATGATTTATATGAGAGATACATGAGATACATGAACATCTTCTCATGTATCTATTTACATGATTTATATGTATACTTAAGTTCTTTGTTAGTTTTTAATTGGGTTATTTGATTGGTTTTGCTATGGAGGTACTGTTGATATTAACCTCTTATCAAATACATACATTGCAAATATTTCTCTCCCATCCTGTAGTTGTCTTTTCACATGGTTCATTCTTTGCTAGCAGGAATCATTAGTTGAATGGTGTCTATGTGTCAAGATTTCTTTTTATTGCTTGAGTTTTGGGTGTTATATAACATATAATAATCACCAAGTAAAAATGCATTAATGTCCAGCTCAGTATTAGGAAGCTTTTCCCACTGATTTCTTCTTATAGTTTTATTGCTTCTGATATTTTCTCTACTCCAATCAGAAATTTTATACCTTTTGCCCAATGTGACCACTTTTCTTTCATATAGCCTATAGTGAATAAATAAATTTAGAATAAAGAAGTGTAACATCCATCATTCAATACCCTTCTGAGAACCTGACATAGCATCAGTGTTTCCTTAGGTTCATTTATTTCATCTAACTGAGAGGAACAATTTATGAAGATTAAAATCCACTTATAGTATGAAGAAATTGTGATCATGAGAAATATTGTTTTCATGTTATTTGCCTTTATGTCCGTGTTCTTTGCATAGTGAGTACCTGAGCTGAAATCATACATGAAGACTTTTATGACAAATGTCTGAATGAAATTCCAAAGAGTGACCTTTGAGTTTCTTTCTGTCCTCTACTTTCTAGGGTGACCCTAGGAATGACTCCTGGATCTTCGCCCTGGCCTTGCTTCTGAGCAGCACCTTTGTGTACAACAGCGTGGGCACCATCAACCATCAGGCCCTGGAGCAGCTGCAGTATCCTTCCAGGAGCTGAGCTGCTGCATGTCAGTGGCTTTTGAGGAGATGAATATTGAGTCATATTTTCTTACCCTGTCACTTGCTTGCTTTTGGTGGAGCAGAGGGGACCTAGGAAAGAAAACATTGTTATGATAATTTTTTATTAAGGAAATATAGGGATTTTAAGTAGGAATTTCCTTTTCCTTAACCAAGTCCTAGTTATGTGACAGAGCTCACAGAACTAATCAAGGCAAAGTCTTCCACAAATTCTGATGGAGTACAAGATTCTTCAGAGTTTGTGAGTTTTTTTCCAGACTTCATCTGGGCTGTACGGGATTTCACTCTCCAGCTGAAGATGGGTGATAATGACATCACAGCAGATCAATATCTGGACAATGCCTTAAAGCTGATTCCAGGTACCAGAGCAAAGACTGGGTGTGGGATTTCTGTAGTGTGGATGTTCTGACGTTCTCCATCATTCTTGGGGATCCCTTTGTGTTTGAGACTAGTTGGAGGTCTATAGAAATGGTGATAGCAGTCATAGGTGAGAGGTTGAAAGCTCTAAGAAAGATAGAACATAACATACAGTGAAATTATTCCAGTCCACATTGTTCTTTACACATTTGTTCTTTAGAATTCAGATTACAATGGTTGATAAAACTGTCTAAAGTACAGGCACTTTGTATCCTATCTTAGCATTTGCTTTTCTCTGTTTAGGAGAACAACTGATCACAGAATTGTTAAACATGATATCACAATACAAAGCTCATCTTACTGTGTGTCTGCATTTCACACCGGTGTTATTCTTCTCAAGGAAGATTATTACTTTTTAATAGTGATATTTAACTTTCCAAAATTTAACATGAGAAATAACTGTATGTCCTAAGTAAAATGAAGAAGTATTCTTTTCATTTTTTGCCTTTTCAATATTTACACAATGGCCGTGGTATTCATTTTATTTTATATAGGTAAGAAATATTTCTCTCAATTCTAGCATGTTTATTCATGCTATCATTTCAAAAGAAATTATATGAATGAAGATATATATTATTTGTACATTATTAAAGTATCCAAAGAAATTTTGTGAAATTACCAGTTCGAATTTACTTTTTAATTCTTTAAGTTTTGTAATATATCTTTTCTCAATATATTCATTGAATAATTGGCAAAAAAAACCTACCAATTCAATTATAGTCCTTTCTCTCAAAGACTTTATAGAATAGTGGTGATTATTTTAAAAGTACATTTTAATTGATATTTGAAGGCTTTTGATAAAGATATTCAATACTATACAAAGTGTTATTTAAAATATGTGTTTTGAGAGTCTTTTTTTTTTTTTTGGTACTGGGAATTGAACTCATGACTTTAAGCTTGCGAGGCAGGCACTGTGCCACTGAGCTATATCCCCAGCCCTAAACCCTTTTTTTGATGTTTACATGTTATGGGATACATATAGATAGTACAGTTGTTACATAACACATAACATGTCTATCATTTCACATAGCTATTTCTGTGATGAAATAACTAAAATTGACTTATTTTAAATCCTTAATACAATAGTTTCATTAATTCTAGCTTCATTTTTATATTAAATTTCTAGACTTACTGTCTTGGTTACTTTTCTCTTGTTGCTGGGACAAAATACCTGATGCCCAAAATTAAGGAAGGAAAGGTTTATTTCGCTTACAGTTTATGCAGGTTTCAGTTCATACTTGGCAGATTACAAGGCAGACTGGCACATGGCAGAGAGCTACAGCTCAGGGCAGTAGAACACAGCTAAGCCACAAGCACACACCAGGGCAGAATGGGGGAGGAATGGCCTCAAGCACTCTTTTCCTCTCCCTTACATATGCAAACTATCCACCCCAGGGCAGGTGCAGCTCTCACACCCTTAATCAAACTTTAAAAGCCTGCCCCGTGACTGCAGGAGGCTTTGGGGGGACACACAGACATAAACCATAACATTCCACCCCTGCCCCCCCAAAGACTCATGCCCATCCTTTAATACAAACAGCATTTAGTCCATCTGCAAGAGTTGCCAAAGTCCTAACAGTTGCAGCATTGCTGAAAATTCCAAGTCCCAAGTCTCCTCCTCGGTGTAAGGCAAACTCTTAGCTGTGAACCCCCCCGCCGTACAAATGAAAAGTTAAACACTTCCAACATTCAATGGCATAAAATAAGCAGTACCATTCCAAAAGGTACAAACAGGAGGACACAGAGCATTGGGACCAAAGCAAGTCCAAAATCCAGCAGGGCTAATGTTATGTCCTGTAATTCCACATGCAGCATCTGAAGCAACTTGTGGCACATTGTGAGCTCCAAAGGGCTTGCATGAGTCCACCCCTGTGGCATTTCTGGTTGGTTACAGCTTCCATGGCTTCTCTCTTAGGCCCACTTTGCTCCCTCCTTCCAGCTTTCCTTAGATGATCCACTGTCCTGGCTTTTCTAAACTTCTGAGGTCTCCAGGGCACCTTTTGCTTCACATTCACAGTCTCACACATTGCCCTCTCAGGGGCACACTGCCTGGCCTCCCAGGCTTTCTGAAATCTGGGTGGAAGCCTCTTAAACCTCAGAACTCCTGCATTCTCCATGCACCTAATGCCAGGGCCACGTGGATGACCCCAAGGTCTGCTGCCACCTGGAGCAGTAGCCAAGTTTTCCTCTCTCTTGGCCACAGGGGTCGAGTGCCTGGATCGTTGGGCACTCTGAATCCAATTCTGAGGAGCAGGTTCTCTATGCTGCCACCATTCTGGAACCTGGTGCGGCCGCTGCTGCCATTCTGGAACATGGCACTCAGCAGCTTTTTCCTTAAGGCAATGTCTTTCACCTTTGCAGTTTTGAGGCTGCAAAGGGTGGAGACTTGCTGCTTCTTGTGATGCCCTCAGGCCATCTTTTCTATTCTCCTGTTCCTTCTCAGGAATGGAGATCTCCTCAGCTCCACCTTTGCAGTCCACAGCATTACTGCAGCTTCCTTTCTGGCCAAACTCACAACATTTTGAATCATCCTGCTGGGCTCTTTGTTCTTGATTCTCAATATAAATCTGGCTAAAAGCCCCCAACAATAGCCATGACACTGCTCCAACGTTTGACTGCCTTGAAATTTCTTTTGCCAGATTAATCAATCCACTGCCGCCCTTAATCTCAGTCTTAGGCAAAGTCTCTGGACATGAGCAAAATGCAGACAAACTTTCTGCCAAGCCATAACACACATCATCTGGAGTCCAACGACCAATGCAGTCCTTCTTCCCAACAGAAACCTCCTGAACCTGGTCTTTACCGGCAAGATTTCTGTCAGCTTTCTGGTCTTCTGAGCTCTGACCAGAATCTCCCAAACAGAACAGCCGAAGGCGTTCTAGCACTTCTCTTTCAGGCAACAACTCCAAACCTTTCCAAACACTCCCCATAAGCCATTTCCAAAGGCTCTTGAACCACATGGTCAGATATAGTCACAGCAACGACCCCACTCCTCTGGTACCAAATTTTGTCTTGGTTACTTTTCTCTCGTTGCTGGGACAAAATACCTGATGCCCAAAATTAAGGAAGGAAAGGTTTATTTCGCTTACAGTTTATGCAGGTTTCAGTTCATACTTGGCAGATTACAAGGCAGACTGGCACATGGCAGAGAGCTACAGCTCAGGGCAGTAGAACACAGCTAAGCCACAAGCACACACCAGGGCAGAATGGGGGAGGAATGGCCTCAAGCACTCTTTTCCTCTCCCTTACATATGCAAACTATCCACCCCAGGGTGGGTGCAGCTGTCACACCCTTAATCAAACTTTAAAAGCCTGCCCCATGACTGCAGGAGGCTTTCGGGGGACACACAGACATAAACCATAACACTTACACATCCTATACATCTGTTACTTAGTGTCCTCTGACCTACATCTTTCTCATTTCTTGCACACTCCTGGCATCCACCATTTTATTTTGTATTACTATACATTCAGGCTTTTAAATGAAATATTTTTGGCATCAGAGTTATTTTCTTTAAATAGAAAATATTGGTAGCATCCTTAATATGGCTATAATTATTTCACTATTGTCTACTAGTCTGTCTTTTTTTGGTTCCTCAGTTCAATTTCAACAAGGGATTGAGTAGAATAGAAATATACATTTGACCTTTTCTTCAATTAGTAAACATCAAATAAACAACTACTCTATACTTGCTGCCAAGTTCAGATCAGGAGATACTAGCCAAACTTTCTGTTTTCACTGGAGTAAGATGTCACTCCAAATATCATGCCTGTTACATTATTGGTACAAGCTTAGTGTGCAAGCAATTATTAAATGTTTATGATAAAGGCACTGTGTAGATGTAGAACCCTGCAAACTATGGCAACTCTGGAGGAAAAAAACCCTTTAATCTCCCAATCACAAGACTATTCCCACTGTATCCTATGTTCACATTTCTTAGGTGAGAATCCCAAAGTACAAGCATCTAATTGTGCTAGGGAGAGCATTCGGAATTTCTTTCCAAGTCGGACGTGCTTTGTCTTTGACCGGCCAACAAATGACAAAAATCTCCTCGCCAATATTGAGAATGCCCGAGAAGACCAACTGGATCCTAAATTCCTGGAACAAACAAGGAGTTTCTGCTCTTATGTCTTCACCTGTGAAAAGAGCAAGACTCTCAGAGAGGGAATTGTGGTTACTGGGAATCGTGAGTCTTCTTTACATGTTTCTGTGCAGAAGCATGCATGTTGAATATATTATATAGTGTTTTTCTATCATTTTTGTTCATTTGTATGTATAATTATGATATGTATGCACTCATTCTCTATAAAATGTGCATACTTTATTATTATCTTACTGGGGCTTACAAATTCCTCTTAAAAACTGTATACTTTGTTGCAGGTATGTGTGGGTTCTACATCTAAGAAAAAAATTGACATTAATAATAAAAATCACTAACTTTGTCTGAAAATAAATATATACAATTTTCTCAGGGAAGTCCTACATGTGAATTTTTCTTTGCAAGGAGACTAGAAAGCGTGGTTTTTGATACTGTGTCCTATTTAGTACAAATATTAATATTACCCTGTAAGTCCCTGAAAAGGCCCTAGAAGCCTCAGAATTAGAAGCAAATATATTATGAGGTATCTTATCTTATTAGTACTTATATAAACTATTTTTCTTTAAATTGTAATGAGGAATTATATTTTCTAGGTATACTTTAGAATATTACATAAAGCTAGATACTGATACTAAGGTTTTTGTTTGAGTGTGACCCAGAGAACCACATAAATTTAGGTGTTTAGTAGGACGGTGAAGGTAATGAGAAAAGGAGGTAGGTCATGTAACTATGCTGTGTGTGTGTTTGTGTGTGTGTGTGTGTGAGAGAGAGAGAGCTTAGAAGTATGGTCTCACCATCTTAGATTCCTTTTAATTATAACTCTCCTATTTACCTCCTAAAATTCGTGGATCACTCAGGGCTGGGGGCTCTGGTGGAGACCTATGTGAACGCCATCAACAGTGGGGAAGAGCCTTGCTTGGAGAATGCGGTGTCCACTCTGGCCCAGCGTGAGAACACAGCAGCCGTGCAGAAGGCAGCTGACTACTATGGCGAGCAGATGGTCCAGCGAGTGCGGTTCCCCGCAGATACGCTGGAGGAGCTGCTTAACGAGCACTCGGCCTGTGAGAAGGAGGCCATTGCGGTCTTTATGGAACGCTCCTTCAAGGACGAAGATGGAAAATTCCAGACGCAGCTGGTGGTACTGTCTCATTTTTCTTCTGCTTTTATTATCACATCTTTGCTGTACACAATGATTACATTCTGTGCGGTTTTTGCTCCTGTGTCTTATTCAGTACTTTCCTCAAACTTTCCATTGAAGAGAGAAGCCCAGAGCTGAGTGCATTAAGCTCATGGTTCATCTCTCATTCAAGGACAAAGCATTTGGATTCTCATTGGGAATGGAGTCTCTAAAATTACACGTTCTTCCTCCAAACCCAAATCTCAGGCATATTATGCAGCAGTTTCTTTGGGTGACTGAGGCATAATCAGTATAGATGTCTTCCTCAATTCTTATGGTGGATTCTGATAAGTACTTCTTAGGACTGCAGACCTGCCCAGAGCATTGTCAAATCGTCCCTGGGGTGTTCACATTTTCAGTTCACGTTTTTTCACACTTGCTCGTTCCTAGCAACTGACTTTCTCTTACCAGAACCCTAATTCTGCACTGTTGTTCATCCCATATGACTCTTTGTTGTATACTGTATCCTTCAACATAGAACCATGGACACAATACCATAGAAGGGGGGCAAGGGGAGGAAAAAGACTTAAGATGTGTCCTTTACCTGTACCAAATACCGACAGGGAATGTGAACACTGTAGATCAAAAACATGACCTGAAAGCAGTAATAATAACAATAATAATGAGAATGGGGAAATGGGATCTGTAGCAAGAGAGAGGGATATGGGTAATGGGGGAAGGGGAGTAAAAAAGATCCAAGGTGCATTATGTACCTGGACTTCCTCTCTAAGATTAATGTAAACTTCATGTACAGCAAACATGTGCAAAAAAAATAGAATTAAAAAAGAAATCATAGAAGTGGCAGCACACAGTCCCTTCATTTCACAGATGAGGATCTTGAGGCCCAGGAAGGTTCAAAAGTTTCTCATAGACTTGTAGAGAGTTGTAGGTTTTTTTTTTTTTATTTTAAAGAGAGTAGTAAATGAGACATAAATAAAAAAATAGAACAGTAGCAGCATACCAGTATCACAAACATAAACAAACCAAAGTAAGAACATTTAAAATGATACAGGGTTTCAAGACAAAATAATACATATTAACTGTGGATGTTTTATTACATATTGCTATCCTCAACTATGTTGCTCAGATTACCAGATATAACAATGGAAGATTGTTAAAACCATTAAAGAGAATAATAAGATAATTATTAGATAAAACATTAGAGATAATATAGAATTTCACTAGACAAGATGGTAATTCCATTGCACATTGTTACCTTCAAATAAGCTGCCCAGATTACCACATACAAGCATGCAAAATTGATCAGAACCTAAAAATTTTAAGCATTAACCATTCCTTTCAATATACCATCAGACATCAGCAATACAGTTATCGCAGCTATTCATGTATATATTTATGTTTTGCCTTCCTTCTTTCTTTTTTCTTCTTTCCCTCATCCCAGTCATTTCTTCCTTTGAGCAATTTCTTTCTCTTTCCTATCATTTATTGTATGTTTTGAATTTTACTTATTCGTTCAGGTTCCTATACCAAGGATACAATATGATGTTTACACATATGAGTCTGATTTATTGGACTTACGAGTATGGTCTCTAGTTGCATCCATTTACCTACAAAAGCCTTGAGTTGATCTTTTTAAATAGCAGAGTAATACTCCATTGTATAAAAATACTACATCTTTTTTTATCCATTCTTCAGTGGATGGGCATATGGGTTGTTTCCAAGATTTAGCTATAACAAATTGTGCTGTTATAAACATGAGTGCACATATATCGCTGTGGTATGATGTCTTTAATTCTTCTGAGAAAATGCCCAGAAAGGGAATAGCTGGGTTAAATGGGACTTCCAATCCTAGTTTTGTGAGGAATCTCCAAACAGACTGCCACAGTGGTTTCACCAATCTACACACCCACCAGCAGGGGAGTAAGGTTCCTTTCTCCCCACAGCCTGTCCAGCATTTGTTATTGGTTGATTTCTTGATGGTAGCCATTCTTTCCGGGGTGAGATGAAATCTCAGTGTTGTTTTAATTTGCATTTCTCGATTGACTAATGATGTCAATCATTTTTTCATGTGTTTATTTGCCATTAGTATTTCTTCATTTGAGAAGTGTATATTCATCTTAGATGCCAATTTTTGGTATTCATTTTTGGATTGGGTCTTTGAATTTGAGGGGCCTGATTTTTTTTAATTCTTTCTATGTCCTAGATAGAAATCCTTTGTCTGAAGGGCATTTGGCTAAATTTTTTCCCAATTTGTGGGTTTTCTTTTTATTCTCTTGGTGATTTCTTTAGATGTGCAAAAACTTTTCAATAAGATGAGATCCCAGTTGTTGATTCTTTGAAGTATTTCCCATGCAGTTTGGTTTTTGTTCATAAATTCTCAGCCTACCCCAATGTCTTCAAGATTTTTACCTTCTTTCTCTTCCAATAAATTTAATGTTTCTGTTTTAATATTTAGATTTTTGATTCATTTTGACTTTAATTTAGTGCACAGTGAAAGGCATGGGTGTAGTTTTAGTCTTTGGCATGTGGAAAGCCAATTTTTCTTTTTCTTTTGGTTTTGGTTTTCTTCCAGTACCAGGAATTGAACTTATGACCTTGCACTTGCCAGGCAGGCGCTGTGCTGCTGAGCTAAGTCCCTAGCCCCTAGAAAGCCAATTTTTCTAGTACCATTTATTAAAGAGGCTATCTTTCTTCCAGTAAACATGTTTGGCCCCTTTGTCAAAGATAAGGTGACTGAGTATGTTTGTAGTTGTGTCTGTATTTTGTAATCAGTTCCATTGATCTTCAGGTCTGTTTTGTGCCAGTACCATGCTAATTTTATCACAGTAGTTTTGTAATATAATTTCAAGTCAGGAATTATGATGCCCCCCGCCTTTCCTTTGTTTCCCAGGATTGCTTTTGCTATTCTAGGCCTCTTCTGGTTCAAGATGAACTATAGGAATGTTTTCTCTAGATCTGTGAGGTATACTAATGGTATTTTAATTGGGATTGCATTGAATCTGTACAACAATTTTGAGAGTATGGCCATTTTCACAATGTTCGTTCTTCCTATCCATGAGCAAGGAATATCTTTCCATTTTCCGATATCCTCTTCAATCTCTTTTTTCAGAGCACTATCATTTTTACTGTATAGATCTTATACTTTTGATAGATTGATTCTGAAGTATTTTGTCTTTTTAGATGCTATTGTGAAA